TCGGATGTCAGTTATGGTCTCTTTAGGGTATATTCCCAGTAGTGGAATTGCTGGGTCAAATGGTATCTCTATTTGCAACTTTTTGAGAAAGCACCATACCGCCTTCCACAGTGGTTGCACCATTTTCTTTTTTTAAAGTGTTAATTCAAATACATGCCATGCGAATTGCATAGTAGTCATGATTGCTTCATTTCTGGAAGAACATTTATGAAATGAGCAATGCATTAAAGGCCAAAAGGAACTGTGACGTTTCTGAATGAATGGGTATTTCCTAGTTGGCTATGAATCTTGAAATTTTGCTTTGCTTGAATACAGTTAATCTCTGTACTATTGTTTAAGTTTTCAACATAAAACTCTCTCTGCATGTTTTTGTAATGACGTCATCATACATTGTATATCATCTCATTACTTCACAATTTAATGATAAGTATACGTTTCTAAAGAATGAAATTTAAAATGCATGCCAACCAGCAATGATGATTTTTGGATGATTTAAAAATTCTTGTAAGAGGTTTGACTTTGCATGTCTTAACAAATAGTATTAACAAATTGAGGATCTTGTAAGACTTTAGAAAGGATGTTGGGGGTTTGATTTTCAGCAAGTACTGGAATATGAGGTGTCAATTGTAAGAAATTTTAAGAGGAAAGAATGATTTTTGTTTTAGCCCTGACACTTCTTTGCTATTCTTTGAACAATGACATTATGGAAAAATTAGACCGATAAACAATGTTTGCTATCTCTATCACAGTCAATCAGAAAAGCTTAAATAAATAAAAGTGTGTGTGTACTTGGCAATTCTTCCTTAGTTCATAAGAAGACCTAACCAAGTATGTGCTAAGAAAATAAAACAAAGGCAGGAAAAGAAAAATCAGGTTTGACAGTATGATCTATAACATTTAAATGTCCTTAACTCTTTTCCTTTGATTTAGTACCACTGTTATGTTTAGCTTGAAGACAATTTATTTTCAAGCGTTGAGTGTTATAGACCCTCTGCTTAGATGATTAATCAGGTGCTGGAAACTGCCTTTAGCTGACTTATTTAATACTGACTTCATGAATAAACTACAATTCACAGACTTCCAATTTCTTGGAAGAAGCATAGACTATAATCATTCTCTTGTATTGTTTATGAGAAAATAATATTAACAGATACTGGGGTTAGTGTAATATTTTCCTTTATAATGGACCCTCCTTGAATGTTTAATGGTGATTGATATTTTACTTGCATTGTTCTGATTGATCATAGAAGATAGAGAGCCCATGTGAATATTCTCATTGCTTTCAAGTTAGAACAGTTCCTGGGGATGGATGGAATTGTTGGTAGATTTGAACCACCAGAGAGGCACTCCTTTAGATAAATCAGTATTACTCCTTTTGAATTATGCCAGAACTCTGGTATATGAATGTTGTTGTTGTGTGCCATCAAGTCAGAACCCACTCATAGCTGACCTTCCAGTGGGTTTTCAGTGGCAATAAATCTCACAGGAGGAGGTTGCCTGTCTTTTTCCAAAGGAGCAGCTGGTTGATCTGAAACATGTCCCTTTGGAATGAAAGTATAGCTTCTTACCACTAGGCCACATAAGCTCTGGGTGTAATGAATTGCCTGATTTGTGTTTTTGGTTGCAAGACTACATGCCATTAAGGAGCTCCGGGGGCCTAGTGGCAGGAAGCTGCACTGCAGTTTTGAAAGCACGCAGTTCAAATCCACCACATGCTCCCCTGGAGAAGGAGGGGCAATTTCCTCTTGTGACAGATGGATCCGATTCAATGGTATACGACAAGGGGGTGGGAGAATATATGCTGTTAACATCATTGTTGTTTTAGAGTAAAGCTTAATAATGTAATTAAAGGGAAAAAAATACCTAATGGACTGTTTTCAAAAGGTATCTGGTCAGTAAAATTTTCCAGCATGGTATGTAAAAATCTCCGTGTCTCCATAGTTATACCAGAGTCAGCTCTGATGGCTTAATGGTAAGGAATTGCACTGCCAGCCCAAAATCCTGAGGTTCACCAGCTGTTCCATGGAAGAAGGGAACTTCCTTCCTATGGACACTTCCCTCCTATGTGATGAACTGCCTCTGGAAACCTGCTGGAGGGTCAGCTATGGGTTGATTCTGACTCCATGGTACACGACAACAACAACCAGAGTCAGAAACACATCTAGCACAATGATGTTTTTTATTCATCTGATAATATTGCACTGGATTTTGAATGGGTGATCCATTATTTTAATCCTTATAGGTTTGAACAGAAACTAAATTACATACATGGAGCTTTTATGATGCATTCCACAGGGAGTCTGTAAAGTTAAAGATGGCACCTCTCTTGGACTTTGAATCCACCAGCAGTGACATAGGGGAAAGATGAAGAATCTCTTCTCGTTTAATTTATAGTATTCAAAAACCTACTGGAGTATCCGCTATGAGTCAGTTTTTACTGGATGACAGGAGAGTAGTATGTTTGTGGATATGCATAAGTTTTAAGGAAAATAGGCTTACTCTTATGTTTTCATTAAAATTAAATAGCATCAGAAATTTTAATGAGGATTTTACAGGTGCTGTATACTTGCTTGGGTAATGTGGTAAATAATACATGGATGGTTCATACCATCAAGAAACATGAAATTGTTTAATTACATCCAAAAACTACTGTTTTCTTATAAGGCCCGAAGAAATACTTTTTGTCTTTATAATATCACTGATTTTTTTTATCAAAATCCATTCAAAAATCTTGATTAATAGCAAGAAAAATATGGAGCAGAACATTAGCTTAGGGGAATCTTTAAATGTCTTTTCCTGAAATAATCTTTAAACTTTGAATTCAGATTATACTAGAAAGTCATCTATAAAAAAAATAGTGTAAGTCAACTAATAAAAATATTGACTTAAAATATTCTTTAAGGAATTATTTATATGACATCTAATTGACAATGAGAACTCCAAAGCACAGACAAGGCACAGATAAGAACTTTAAGGGACATGAAAAGTAAAAGTTAACAGTAGTAAAATAATGTGGGTAGAGCTAGTAAGAATAGTGACACATGTGAAGAACGGAACCAAGAGCATTGATCTGTACATGTTAAAAAAGTTGAGTAAGTATTATGTTTTGTTGTGTATATTTCAAACGTTTAAAAAATTTAAAATAATATCTAGTTCTGGCAGTTAGATGATCACATTTATCACTGGAAAAAGGGAACATTTTTTTTGTTTTTGACAATGGTATTTACTGTAAGTATGTTTGCATCATAAAAAAAAGGAAAGAAAAGTTTTTGTCAGAAATATGAAAGACTTATTTTCTCAATAAATATTATATTTTATTTTGTTTTGTTAATCGACTGTGAAATTACTTGCACAGATAGAGATAAGAGCCACATTATTTTTAGCTGGTTAGACATGAGGATATAAAAACAATTCTATCCAAGTCCCAGCCTCAGAGTTTAATAATCTATAAGCATTAAGA